CGAGAGGCACGTAGCAGGAGAAGCGTCTCATTAACGCAGCGTCGGTACCAACAAGAAAAACCCTCACAAAATATTGGGGCAGTGCCCCCCTCCCCCCCCACTAGCCCCCCTGCCATTATAGCGGAGAGGGCAGTCAGACCACCTCTGACGATGGCAAAGAGCGTCGCGGTTGAGGGGTTCCTGGTAGCTGAACTGCGACGAGCTCCCGGCAAACCTGTCGGTGTGGGTTTTTGGTCGACCCGAGTTGCCTCCGCGCCCCTGGGATTTGATTTAATCGTCGCGATTCAATAATTAATTAGTTCTCTTTACAAAAAGTAAAAAAAATTGGCTCCTTTTTGGTTTTTTATCATATTCTCCTTTTCGCTCGAGTCGCCGCAAAGTGACTTGGCAAGTCATTTTCAACGGCCGTGAATGATCCATTTCCCAGCGTCGCAATTCTGCGCATGTTTCACGAGGAACGCGAGAATCAAATTCAATTGACGATGAGCTGATCCATCACTGCGTGCCTTTGTGTTTTTTAGAATTGAGAGAAAATAGTGATGCACGGTAGAATCTAGATAAAAGCACACCTCTTGGACGCAAGTCCGTGTGTGCTAATATTAAGAGTGTGCTTGCATCAGTAGTTGCCGGTATGCCTCGCGCCCCCCAAACCAGTGCAACATCACACGTGTCGCCTCTACCGGCACATCGCGCTTGTTGTTACAAGGTGTTCTCGTATCCAGCTGCGGCACCACGGTACGTCACGAGGAGCGGCTGCATTGAAGTCGTGGAGCGCCCGTACGTCAGTGAGTTCGCTCTGCCGTTTCGTCAAACTCCCCACCCCCCCCCCGCGTCAAAATGTCCCTCCTCGCCCCAGCGCCACGGTGCCGTCCGTGGCCGACTCCGCAGAGCGGCCCACTCCCGGGACAGCGGTGCGCGCCCGTCGCTTTGTAACGCCCGTGCCACCACAAAGACAAAGATACCCCGTATAGCCTTAACAGACTGTCGGGGCAAGTGCTGTTAGCGAGCAAGGCACACGAAGGGGTGGGTGTACAGCACCACACCCGGCCGCCTTTGTCTCCCCAGTGGCGATGTTTTACACACCAGGTACTCGGTTGAGACCGAGTCGACCTAAGGGAGGCCCAGGACCGGTTCAGGTAATCAGCACTGGTATTGACCGTGAGTGGGAATCGAACTCGGGCCGCCCGGGTTAGCGCGCTGACCGCTACACTACCGCTCACCACGCATCACACACGTGCTCACGACACACGCACACACACGTGCTCACCACGCACACACGTGCTCACGACACACGCACACACACGTGCTCACGCACACGCACACACACGTGCTCACGACACACGCACACACACGTGCTCACGGCGGAGAAAAGCAAATTGAGCAACTATGAGTTAATGCGGCGGCCGTGTGTCCCGCTGATTGGTTTGCTGTTTGCGTACTCTGACTTTGCACGATCGTAATCTCCTCCAGGATGACTTAAAGCGATAGAGAATTGAATACTAAGCTGCGAACGAGAGCCCTTAAATCTTGTAGATGTGGTCGGAGCTCTTGTATATACGGGGAGGTGACGCGGCTGGCTCAGGGGGCTAATGGGGTGTCAGAGACACGGAGGAGAGCCGTCACCTCTGGGATGTGCTACGTTTCGCCATCGGGCTCAGATCTGGGTGTCAGCCACCACCTGTGATTAAACTGGGCGATCAAGTGGAGCGAGTTGATGGGTACAGCCCTGCCACCAGTGACCGCACACACAAAAAAACTCACAATTATATATATTTAAAAAGAACTTATTTTCACTGAATTCAACGGTGAGGTTCTACAATCCATTGTACACGAGGGGGTGGGTGGCCAATGCCACGCCCGGCTACATAGCACGAGGTTGCACACTCACCCATATATGCACAAAGATCCTCCGTGTAGCCTTTTATAGACTGTTGGGGCAAGTACTGTTAGCGAGCCCCCTATGAAGGTCAGTGCATGAGGGGTGGGTGGCCAACACCACGCTCCATCGCCTTTGTCTCCCTAGTGGAGATGTTTACACAACACACCAGGTACTCATTTGAGGCCGAGTCGACCTAGTGGAGGCCCAGGGACGGTTCAGATAATAGGCACTGATGTTGGCCGTGAGTGGGGAATGGAACTTGGGTCGCCGAGTTTGTAGCACCACGTGCCAACTGCTACACTCCCCACACACACGCGCAACATGGACTCGCTGTTACATCACACGTATAAGATGCGTATTACCACAACTATAACATGTTGAGAGTGAGCTTATCGATTGCCACATCTACCGAATGTTCTGCTAAATGCCCATCTGTGTGTACTAATCACACATTAGTATCGGTGTACAATGTTAAGTGTCGTTGCGCTGAAAAATAATAAAGAATAAACTTCCCAGCACAAGTGTGCTCATACGAACAGCACGGCATTATTTTCTCTTTACGCTTTGCAAGCCTCGCCTGGACAGAACATATTAGTCACCGTGGTGGCAGAGTTAGGATACTAAAATAACAAACAAGGCTCTCTCTAACCATTAAAATGTAATAACAGTTTTATCCATCAGCGTGCAGGCATTCTGAATCAATGTTTTTCCCAGCAGCATTCCTTTTAGTGGAAAGTTTTGGACCGGTTTTGAGTTCCCTCGGTCTCATCAGCAGTGCCGGGCGTGTAAAACGAATGCTGTTGGGTTGCCAGAAACTGTAGACAAGAGCCCTCCTACTACATCTACAATAAAAAAAAAATCTATATTTTTCTTGCTATTATAAGCACCTGAGTCACAAATCCCAAATAGTACAATGCAATGCGGATTTACATAGCAGTGTCTAAATGAGACCTTGTTACAACACGAAGTGCAGAGAGAGAGGCAGTCATCAGCAAACAGAACAATAAAACCTGAAGGTCTTGAACCTGGACTTGAACAGGGGCGGGGAGTCAACAGCACGGATGGCTGGGGGAAGGGAGTTCCAGATCGTGGGGGCATCAAAGGCGAGTGAGCGACTTCCCACGAAGCGAACTTGCCAATAGCGAACGGTTTCTACAGACGCAATAAGACGAGCTCCATCTGTGACGGTAGGGAGGTCGGTATTGCCAAGACGACAATTTATCATCCAATGTTGCAAAAACGCTCTTGTTTGGCCACTGAACCTGGACTGACAATTGAACCGTGGAGAAAATGTCCTGCGTTTTGAAAGGACCCGATCTTTCCATTGTTCCTTCGCGGCAAAAGCTAAACTCAAGCACCACTTTATAGGGACGTCTGCATTGATTGTCCATAGGTTTGTGGAATGCTCACCGCTTGCCTCGGCCTTTCGCTCATTAGGGCCACGGGACATTTTTTCTTATTTAACTGCACTAGAACACTTCCGCCGTATGCGATGGTGGGGGTGGTGGTGGTTTGTGACGATGCCGGTGAACGGTGGTTGTAAGTGGCGGTGATGATGTTGGTGGTGGTAGCGGTGTCGGCGATGGTGGTTGTGGTGGTGTTTGTGGTGGTTGCTATGGTGACTGGTGGTGGCAGTGGCAATGGTGGTGGCAGGAGAGCAGCGGTTGTTGTTTCCATTAAATGGGTTTTAGGACGAAGGCCGCGGATTTGCGATGAGAGGTGCTGAGCGCCCTGCACACGGCAGCCCGTCACCCGACTCTGAAGCGGAACGCAGAATCGACCACCGCGCCATTCACCAATTTATCCCCCCCCCGCCCCCCAATAGAAATTATCGTCAGGTTTGTTTGCTTGAGTTTTTTTTTTTTGTTTCATCGTGCTTAAATTTTAATGCGAGCATTGCTTCGTGCAACGGGATCAATGTGGCAAGCGTGGCGCTGTGCGGTGAATCGCGGAGCCGGGGAACCGCCAGTGGAAGGCTGTTGGCGGGGGGGGGAGGTTGAAGGGGACTCTTACACCAAGCTGAGCGCAATTGTGTTGTCTCTGCGGCCACCGCCTCCTGCAAATGATGATTAATGACGATCAAGGGAGAAGAAACTCTGTTGTTCCCCGTGCTTCCTGGTGTCGCTCCATCAGCCGGGTTAATCGCTGCTCTGTTGCGGTCGGCACGGAGCTCGCCCGCGCGCACGCACACGCACGGGCGCACTCACACACACATACACATGGCTGCGCGCGCACACACACATGAATGCACACACGCGCATGCAGGCGGGCGCGTGTGTGTGCGTGCGTGCACCTCGCTCGCGCAAAGATGCACACGGGCGTGTCCCAGGGGTTGCCTTCCAGGGGGGTTTTGCTTTGCCTGTTACCGTGATGGGATTAACTAGCGGCAATAACAACAAGAACCCTGCACACGCGTGAGTGTGCGTGAGTGTGGGTGAGTGGGTTTTTGTGGTTCTGGAGCAATGGAGAGCCATGGCGTAGCGGTTAGCTTTCCGCGCTTTGACACCGAGGATCCAAGTTCGATTCCCTGACCATAGATGACTTCAGTAGCCAATATCTGAAATGGTTCTAAGCTTCCCCTGAATACCTGGTTTTAAATAACCAATTAACACGACGCGCGACTCAATTTCAGCACGTGCCGTGAACATTAGAACCGATTTTTTTTTATTTAATCGACACGCCATCCATTGCACGTTCCGTACACCTTGCGCAGAGTGCGATCACCAGTGCCGGTGAGACAAAGGCAGTTGTGGCATGGTGCTGGCCACACCACCCCCGTCATCCTACACCCCGGTGCTACTCAATCGGTGCTCGATAACCACACGTCTTGGCGCGACGGACTGCGTCATTGGGCGATGGCAGATTCTGTAGTCACGCCGTTTTAAAACAAAACGACCTTCTCCAGCTCTTGTGCCTGTAAAAAATGTTTACACTAAATCACGAAATGAAATCGAAGAGTGGTGTGGGAATGTCCGCGTTAGACTAAGAATCCCCAACTGGGGTTTGACACTCGGGAAGCATGAAAAATATTTGGACTTTTATTTAACGTCTCCCTTCTAACCTTACTCTGTATATATTTTCTCTCCCTTTCCGTGCCTCCTCCCCATTCCCGATCGTCCAGGTTTCCGTCTCCAGCGAGACGAGCTGCGTGGAGGAAATCCTGAGGGTGAGTTGGCACCAACGACCCCCCCCCCCCCCCCCCCCAGTATCCGCCACGGGCCACTAGTCGTGTTTCGGTGGAAAGGTACTTTCCACTGATATTTAACGGGCAAAAAATACCGACAGCGTGTTTTGCCCGTTTGGTTGCTTCTCCATCAAAAAAGAAACCGTCGAAAATTGTTTTGCCTCCGTTTGCACGAAGGAGATGCCACCTCTCTTTTCGAGTAATATTTTTCGCCTAGTTACGTCTGAAAGTAAACGATGCCCTCTGGTGTATGTCCGGCCAGCGATGGAGCGAGTGGCTCGCAATCTGAATGCTGGGAGTTCAAATCCTGCTTGGGGGTTGACTCGGCCCATCATCCCTCTGGGATTCATAAAACGAGAATCGCTTTGTGGGCAAGTCAAGAGCGGGGTTGCCCTATGGGCTGACTCACCCCCGCCATGGGTGTGTGGAATTGCCTCGATGCTCATTTGAGCGGCGGGAATTCACCGCGGGCTGTGGTGTCTTTTCTTTAGGAATTGACTGCATTCTTAGAAAATGAAAACGCCGTTTTTTTTTTTACAAAACAATAAAACAAAGGCAAGCGGTCGGTCGCCTTGCGTTGAAACCCCATGCACGCGTCGCGTTGATTCGCGGCACAAAATGGAAAAAAAAAAAAACAAGTCAATCCATCATACTTGCAGAAAATAAGATTTTCTTTGATTACCGTTGTTTTTTTTTTCACCGTGGAAAGCGGCGTGGGGGTCAAGGCTCCGTCCCACGCAGCGGCCGAGTCCCCGTGACGTGTGGGAGGAATGAGGCGCTTACGGCCTAGCGCAACTCGGGGCAGTCCTGCTCATTAAACCAAACGCGCTGCCTCTCTCTTCACGTGGGCCTATTAATTTTTAACGACTGTAATCACCGACAGCTGAGAGCTGTGGGGGGGGGGGGGGGTTGTGGGGGGCACTGGGTGGTTGTGGTGGGGGCGAGCAGCAAGGGATTGGTTAAGATTAGGAATTTAAGGCTTCCTCGAGATGTGGCTGTGAATTTAGCTCCTCCGCTTGCCTAAAAGCCGCCCTCTGGATTGTCGGCGTGGCCCGCCCAAATGGTCCCAGGCTGCCGTTAGTCACGTTATTAATCCGGCGTATATTGTTATTGTTATGGATGAGCGGTGCTTGGCAATTAGCGGATGATGAGGGTAAATTGGGCCTCCTTTTGCCGGGCGAGCATGCCGTTCCTTGGGCTCCACCACGGCCCTTTACCGGGGCCCTGATCAATCGCCCGCCAATTCCGTCGCGAGGATTTCACGTTCCCCACCGGAGTGCTGTCGATTGTCCGGTCACTCACGATGGAGAAAGGGCGAATTGGCGACCGTCCACTTAGAAGGGCGCTCCCAGTTGATCGTGCTCCGGTGATAGAGCTGTAGGGGGGGGGGGGGGGGGTGCGGTAGAGGGTCACGGAAATTGAGCTAACGATGGATGAGAACGTCCCCGGAGAGGCGCGGGGCCCCCCGCGTGCAGAGCGGCTAAAATTAGGTGCATGCCCCCTGTTCGCTCTCCTCCCCAACCGGGCCCACAGGTCTCCTTTCCACCACGCGCACCCGCCCCTCTCCCCCGCCCCCTTCCCCACCTTTAGCACTGCCGTTCTCCCCAGTGACCCAATCAAGACTTGCCGCACGCCTGCCCTGGCTTCGTTAACTCGCCCTATGCAGATTGCGCCCAGGGTCCCCCCTCCCCGACATCCCTTTCTTCGCCTCTCTCTGCACCCTCCCCCCCCACCACCGCCGCCGCCCACGGTCCCCTCGCCTCTCCTGGCTCACCCACCCCCACACCCCCACGGCTCGAGATTCTTACCGCTCAAGCTGATGAGCAATTCGCCGTGAAATTAGCTTCATCGGGGTGCCCTCTCGCTAAAACGAAAAATAAATGTTGCCTATTTACAATCTACCTGCATGGTTTAAGCCGATGTTTTATTTCTCGGTAGTGGAGGCATCGCCTGATTTGTAAACCGTCGCAATGTGCGATGTTTATTTACGTGAATATTTACAAAACAATAACATCGGTTCTTGGTGTTGTTTCAAATGTTTTGTTGAACATTTTAGGGGATTTTTTAAAGTTAAAATCAAAACACAGCCCAGATGTGGCAGAAGAATCGTTAAGTCGCAGGCACGCCCCGCGCGTGTGGGCGCAGGGCCCATGAAGCAGTTTAGGAACGGGAAGACGATTATAAACAGTCACATTTGAACCGAGAGATCGTCGCCTTGCCTGGGCTAACACGTGCACTCGCTGGCTTGCCGCAGTGAGCATTAATTAATTAATTGTATCACGAACGTCTTCCGCTAATCACCGATTACGTGTTACAAATCAGTTGCCTTGTACCCGGAGTAATATTTAATTATCAGAACATTAATTTTGATCCGGCGATAAATTCTCATTTTCTCTCCACGCAGCTGTGATTGAAAATGAAGCAGAGTCTAATGATTTTCTAGGACGGTAATATGATTATTTTTCGTGGACGTCTTATCAGTTCGTATCATTGCCTTGCTTTGATCTCGCGAGTTTCGTCGCACTAATTGAGCATTTGCTAATGAAGTGCCGCAATTGTCAGCCCTTTCTGCCTCACGTGAAATCCCTGCCGGCGCCGCCGTCACCGCTTTCTTTTACAGGCAGAGTGGGAGGGGTGTCGGCTTGGCAGCGACAGGGGTGTTGACATGTTTATATTTAGCTCATATTTAGCTTACAATCGACAACACTGATTCTGGACTTATCAACAACAACAACAACAAAAAACACAAACGTCGAACATTGAACATGCCCAACCTGACGTCATTGCGACTCTTGCGCCGGGGGAACGCCGCAGAATGGCAGCGTAGACGGACATCGGTGACAACGGTCAAAGCACTTGACTAGGTGGTGCGCCTAGGTCACGGTGGTTGACTCGGAGCGAGGTGGTCGTGAGCTCGGGTCTCCGATCGAATCCACCCATTGTTCGTCTGGAGTCGGTAGAATGAGTAGCGCTTTGTGAGAAATCGTCAGCGGTTTCCCGCAGACGGGACTCTTTGTACAAATTCCAGAGGTGGCCGAGTTGCTCAAAGGTCAAAAGCGTTGAGACAGCGCACCATTAAAGTCCTGGGTTTTAATCTGTTGTGGCCACCTCGTTATAAAACCAATATTTCAAGTGTAATGAGTTCACGGTATCAGCTCAGTTACTGGTAAATGCACACAAAAATAACATTTAATTAACATTCGGTGGTTCACTGATTTGGCAAAAATCCAGCAATGAGAATGAATGATTCTTGTGTAAGTGCTGTTTGACTGTCTTGTAGCAGAAGTGTCAGCAAAGAGTCTCTCTTACGGTCTAAATGACAAAAAATGCCATTTGAAGGATTTTTAGGGAAATAATTCTCTGACAAACTGCGGTGTGAGATTTACAAATAATTTCTTCTTACGAGACCATGAGTACAGTTTGAACAAGCTAATCACTCGAAATGTGCCACAACTCAGCAGCTAAGCAGGTTTGAGGCTGGATAGTGCTTGGATGGGCGGCCACCGTGCACCCCCGGTTGTCGTAGGCGGGTGCGGGGCAGTCGGCAGGAGTCAGTGCAGAAAATAATAGTTGTGCTCTACTTCTACGCTCCCAGATTTACGCTCAACGCACTGACCGCAGCGGCAGGTAAAGTATGGTCAAATAACCCCCACCAACGGCATGCATCCACGGCGCGGTTCCACAATAAAAACCGCAGCAGGTCGCCGTCCCAGCCCGACCGTGACACAGAGAACAGAGCGCCTCGTCGCAAATCAACACCAATCACCGGGAAACCGCTGTTCCGTCGGAGCAGTGGGGGGTGGCGTGGGGTGCGGACGGCAGTGAGTGAGTGAGGTGGGGGGGGGGTTGGGCGAGAAGAACGTGTTAGAAATTTGCGTCGCGGCGGGAGCTGAGGTTTGTTCCCTCCCCGTCTCGCGCGACGCCACCGCCGCGGCGGATGAAGACCGTGCGACATTTAGCAGCAGAAAGAATTCCACGCCCTGGCGCTCGCAAGCGAGAGACCCTTCAATGAACGCCACCGTCGCCGCTCCTGAGCCACCAGGAAAACGAAGGGAGATTTGACTTGGCGGGTGCACGGGGACCCTTTGTTTGTCCGCGACGACTGCCTAGGTGGGGGGGGGGGGGGGGCTGCGACCGCTCCTCCGTTGTTTAGCGGCGGACGCGCTCCGTCTATTGTTCACTTTGGAGAGGACCGCGTTCCGATGCAGCGCAGGCACTGTCACTCTGCTCCGGGTGCGGATGTCTCAAGCGTACTCGCAGCGAAAACAACCGGTGGGGGTCACGTGCGGGCACTGCCACCTCGCAATCAGAATATTGAGCTATTGCTGGAGGAGCAATCCGATGAGCTGTGAAGCTCTTTGTCGCAGATATCCAGGAGGGGCGGGTCAGAACGTTACAACAACAAACAACACAAAAACACGATAGGAGTGCAAATCATAGGAAAGGTAAATAAATCACTTTTTTTTTTATCTTGCCAGGTACAGCCATACTGAGGTTATTAACTTATCTTTCAGGCATGACCTGGCCATCGCAAATGATAGCTCAACAAAGTGGCCTACGTGGATGACGAAGGAGACCTCATGCTCGATAGCCGTGGCTCTCTCGAACTCTCTCTAGTGGAGGCGCCTCCTCCAGCAGTGGCGTGAGCAAGCATTTGAAGACGTCGCAGATACTCGCGCGTGCACACCTTCACCCCGTTGTACCGCTTGCAGCGACGTTCACAACGCTTGGCCCGTGCTCGGCGGTTTCATTTTGCCTGAGAATCGTGAACCCGCCACCCCCTTAGTCCCCGATTCGCGGGACCCGTAACACATTTTCACGTTTCCCCCAAAGACCAGTTGTTTATCCAGCTGCTTGTCAGTCAATCTGTGTGCTGCCGTGTTCTGGCGCAGAGAGAGAGAGAGAGAAAACCCCGCAGCTCAAAATCCGCAGTCATTACAGCTCAGAAATAAACAGTGATTTAAAAAACAAATGCCACAATAGAGTCGGAGAGGAGATATTGTATTACTTGTAAGTGGCCACAAATAAGGCACAGAGTGCTCCGCTGCTGCTGCAATAAAATGAGACAGGGCATGAATTGACACTCACAAGCTCCACAGACATGACGGAGAAGTCCGAGTGAAGACCCCCGAGGGAGGCACGGGAGGTTGTGCGCGTGTGGCTACGCTCGGCTCACGGGCTCAAGAGCGGGTTGCTAACCGAGGCTGGGTCGCTCGCTCGTACCGCCCGATGAGCGTGATGAGACGCGACAGACTACAATGCAGTCCTGCGCGGGTTTATGTGGCGGCGTCTCAATGCGACCGGCATCTCAGGACGCTGCACAGAAACAGTGGGCGTTGTTTGCTTTTGCGGAGAGAGGCGGTGAGTCATTGGCTGCGGAGTCCCAGACGATGGTGAGAACGCGCGACCTGACCGCCGTGCCAAGGTTGACTGAGGCCTTCGACAGAAAGCCTCGGATGCCAAAGTAGAGAACGCATGGTGGGGAGATGGGAGGTCTTGAAGACGGCGAGTGCAAGAGTGCCGGCTTGACATTGATTCGGTACTGGATTGGGAGCCAGCGGGGAGATCGGGGTGTAGGTGAAAGTGAGCGCGGGTGAGAAGTATGTTATGAAATGGTAAGTACATGAGTAGACCTTTGCGGATTTGTGCATCCGGATTGAGTTATTTGACAGCACCGACAATTGGGATTTCTGTTGGTGAAGGTGGACAATGCTGTTACTAGCTTTGGAATGATGAGGGTTGCGATATAAGTGCACGATTCATCTTAAGAGATTTGTTTTTTTTTACTACTGTCATCGGTAGCCCCTCTAGTGGCTGCAGGGATCACGTGACACCATTTATGTACAACGCACGTGAATATAAAACCATCGATCGTTCCGCACGCGTCAAATCGATACCGATAGATTAACGTCGATGCGTTGGTGCACCACCAGTTGTTACGCCGTGCCATGCGTCCACGTGCCACCTCCCCATGAACGTAACGCCACCTCCGTTGGCGCATTACATTATGTTATGCGGCGCGAGCGAAAGACGTAAGGATCCGTTCAACCGACGCCGTGGCCAAAGCGAACGAGACGACGGTTTCTTATTCCCCCCCGTTTTGTGTTGCTGCTGTGCGCGCGCAGGAGATGACCCACTCGTGGCCTCCCCCTCTGACCGCCATCCACACCCCCGGGCAGACGGAGCCCTCCAAGCTTCCCTTCACCCACATCCCTCCTCCTCCCGCCAAGGTCAGTCTCATTCAAGTACAGTGTCTCTGCGGGAGCCAAGTTGATGCGGTGCCAAACTGGCGCGGCCTCGCCGGGCGGTTTTCCCAGCTCTGCGCCGCGGCGCCATCGGCGGCGGCCGTGGCGGCCGCTGCGCTCGCGTTCGCCCGCTCCGTGATATTTGCGGGAGGGTCACCGGGCTTGCGTGGCCTTGCCCGGGGGGCTCTACGGTCAGTGAGGCTCGGCGGGTGGGTTTTGATCGTCGCAGGGGGTCTGTGGCCGCGGCGTCTCGAGTTCTTCGCCGGGGTTTTGTGGCGGCGGTGGCGGTGATGAATGTGCGTCGCCCCGAGAGGTTTATTTCTCTTCCGTCGGTATCTTCGCGAACATTTCCGCACGTATATTTTTTCGCGTCGTGTGTTAAGTTTCCTGTGTGCGGCGGAGGGGGGGGGGGGGGCTCTGTGCCAGGAGACGCCGGGATAAATTTCTACACGTTTGCTGCATTGCGAAGCCCTGCCCAAAGCTCGGCAGAGACTGTGAAAAAAAATGTCTCTTGGCTACGAGAACCGCAGGGAAAGCTTAAATGTTCTGAGTTCTCATCCTGTTGATTCAGTGTGAAAGGCCACCATTTGCATATTACACCCCGCTGGTTCACATCTTCATTTCTCACCACCCAAATTTACGTTTAAACAACTGCCAAGGTCCATCCACAAAGTCGTGAGGATGACCCCTGCTTCTTTCCCACCCCCCACCACGCCTCGTGGCACCGGCGCGTTACGAACGTGGGCGGCGCGCCCCAACCGGTCCCGTCAACGTCCGCAGAGGAGCCGAGGGGTCGCGTTCCTGCAAGGTTTTAATTTCGCTAAGCAGGTGGTGCCGCGTCCCTATTCAGAGTTTACCGCCGCGTTGTTTACACAACAACTTCAAACGGGGGTAGGTGGGGGGGCAGCAATTTTGTCAAATCCAGTTAAGGGTTTGACTGATTTTAGCTGGCACAAGCCGGCCGTGGGTCACGTGACACATCGAAACAAATACATTGCGGTCGCTAATTGCTTTCTCTCCCGCTGCTCCTGCAGGACGCTCACATCAACTCGGGTTACGGTGGACAGAGTAAGTTTCTTCACGTCGCAATATTTTTTTGTTCACACAACCCCCTCCCACCCCACGCCTTACCCCCGCCTCCCCCGCACCCCCCAGGTCCTCACGCATTCGAGGATATAATTTACATCAGCCCACCCCAGTAACTGCTTTCGCAATGTGCATATTTTACAGTAAAGAGTTACTTTGCCAACAAATTGTAAAAATATATATCAACAAATACATGTATATAATTGTGGGCTGCCGGGTATTTTATGCAACATTATCGATGTTGCTTCCCACACGAGGTGTGGTGATGTCATTGGAATTGGTGGTGGTGACCTTTTGCCCTTGTCCTTGATTTTCTACCCTTGCCACTAATAGCGTTAATCGCCTCACACTCGATAGAGAATCGTAATGGACGTGTGCGGGCTTCCACCTCCAAGGTGCCGTCACGAACGTTTTTTATTTTTTCAATTGTACCCACAGAGCGACACGACACGCCAGCAAGTCAGCCACCAAATGTGGCGGATCACAAATCGTGAGTCTGGAATTACTCTTATTTTCTCTCTCTCTCTCTCTGCCGCACATCGTGTGACGTTCCAACGCTGGGGCTCACTTCTTTTTGCACGCCCGCATGCCATCTGTCGCGTTGCTGGGGGTTTCTCTGCCACGGTTTTGTCGGCACGCGCGTGAGTGTCACCGTTTTGACGAGGCGGGGATTGAAGGCTTTCAAATCTCTCGCGCGTATCTCTGGACATTTTTCCCTTCCCCTCCCCTCCCCATGCGTGCTTATTGAGAGCTCGTGGCTTACCGAAGCTTAGAGTACACGGTGACATTAATATTTTTATACCCATTAAGTTTTGCTCACCATTGTACATGAAAGTCCTTTCACAACCGGTTCAGTGTGCATACGAGCAGTTCGACAAAGGGTTCGGAGCGTGCCCCACACACACACACACACGCCACATGGGACGTTCCTTCGCGCTGCCTGGCAGAGAAAGTGAGCTGAACCTCAGCAGATGATTCTTTAAATAACAATCGTGCATGCTGGCTTTTAGATGTGGCATCTTGGCAGAGCATTACATCCCACTATCAATAAGTGCTTACATTTTTGGAGAGGTTTGGGCTTTGCGTGGATTCATAATAAAATGGAGCGGACTAAAAACATTTTTTTAAAGATATTTTTTGAAGACTTGGGGAAATAAATCACAATACCAAAAACACAGCGGACGATTGTTGTTGCGCCAAGGGAGTGCTGCTCCAGTCGCCTCTCATCCCCGTACGCCTGACCCGAGGCTTCCACATGGGTGGCCGTGACTGTCAGGATCCTTTGAAAGCACCAATATGTTATTAAAACAGTCATATGTACATTATGTCGGATTTTTGTGTACACTCACCCATATATATATCACCTAATCAAGTTGAAAATTACGGTGCTGTAAATATTTGACTTTGACCAAACCAACGTGGATTTAATACAAAAAAATTGTTTCTTCAAATTTGAGACTGGGGTTTTCTTTTATCCACTTCTGCATCCCAAGTCCTTATCCACCAGGCCTCACCGCGACCCCACACCCTCCCAGACAGGATTAGAGGAATCGATGAGTGAAGGAATAACGTGGCCAACGCCGACCACAGCTCCGTGGCAACGAGCGGTCCTGGCCTGAGCGGGGCGATCGAGGCCAAAGCCGTTCGAACGTCGAGGTCGCACGCGGCGACGAACACGATCTTGGTCGACGTCACCCAGCTCGTGGGCACGTTGGGTCCTGGGAGGGCCAGGGGGCCTCCTCAGCAACGGGGGGATTTCTTGTGGCGCCGCGCCGTGCCCCCTGCCTTGCGGGGGCAGCTCCACGGTAGGCCGCAGCGATGGCGTGGCAATGGAGGCCTTCCCCCTCCCTCTACCCCCAGAACACAAAACGGAGGCTGCGTTCTTTTCGTCTTGTTTCCCAGGCCCCCCCCAACCCGCCTAATTCTATTCCAGTGGCGATGTCGCCATGAAGTTGTGATGCAAAGGGCGTGTCAATTAGGGGCTGTCGCAGAGCAGCGCATCACCCACGTGCCCATTATGGAGTGGCCCGTGGAGGCAGATATTACAGAACTACATCTGAGGTCACGTCCAGTGACCTATTTTATCCACACACTAGCAGATGCTGTAGTTTCCCACATGGCTTGTTATGGAGAAATGTTCTTCTCACGGCAGTCAAATTTTTTTTGTTATTCTAAGAGAAGGGGTTTAGTAAAATGAAGTGAAAAATCAAACTGAGTATGAAGGACTCACCAATGAACTTGCTACACTTTAAAACCCAGTTTATTTATAAGGGGTTGAAGATTCGAACTTGGTGACCTCAGTGATTCTTACTGTGACCACGTGACCAACAGCGTGCAACTGCTACATAAGAGCGATGGCAACAGGAAACTGTCTAAACTTTTGACATCAGCTTTTTAAAAATCGAGAATTGCCTGAGTTTTGAGAATACATTTTCAGGAAGGTCCTACACTGGGACATTTTTCAATTCAATCAATCAGTGTTTGGCATGCTGGAGGAAACTACATAGATATAGCTCCTTGGAACTTTGCAGCCCCCAGCCTATAACACCTGGTATTCCCAGGCAGTATCCCGTCCAACCACCAACCAGGTTTTACGCTGCTTAGCTTTCCAGATCCAGGCTGATGGTATTTTTAAAATTTAAATCGTGAGATGTAAATCGTAACAACACCCCCACTCTCCCCAATCGCACACACGCAGCCCCAGCATCTTGCAGCCTCTTTCCGCGGCTAAATGGAGGTTAAATAAACGCTCTCGCTGTTGACGGAGCCCCAGAATTTGGCGGACGCTTCCTCTTCCCCCCCCCCCCCCCCGATTCGTAAGCTCCAAAAAGGTAATTTATAGTACGCGTTGAATTTTTTTCGAGATCGTTTGTCAGATCCGTGGAGAGCATTGTCTGATAGGAGAGAATAGGGTGGTTTTTTGTATTAATGACCAACTTTGATGTCGCTGAGAAACAAAAAGAAAAACACGCTGAGACTTGCAAAGAGGAGGGCTCCAGGGGAGGAGCGGGCCCGGCACGGCGGGCGGCTCCGGCTCGCGTTGCCGCGTCTCAGCGCCGCGGTCACCCGTAATACGGGCTGGCCCGCAGCACCGTGTTTTTTAGGGGTGGACCCAGCCCCCCCCCCGCTGCCGCCCCCCCTCTGCGTCTCTCGCTTTCATCTCTCCTCCCCCCCCCCGTCCGCTGTGGCCGGAGTGCCGCGAGGCGTGACGCTGAAGGATTTACGAGCCGACAACGTCACGTGTCTGGATTGTTATTTTTTTCTGTCGCACGGGTGTTTTTTCGGATCCTGCAGGCTCAAAAGCAGCTCGCTGCTTAAAACTTTGACTCTGTTGTTTTTTATGATTACTTTTATTATAAAGTAGGAGCAGATCGTGTTGTGGTCAAAGCATTGAAATTAACATTCGGATGAAATTTTTTTTTTAAAGCTTTCGTGACTGCAGGGATTCATATTCTTGATTCTTTCGGTAAAGTCGCGTAGAAGGGAAAAAAAATGTATTGCTTTATATTTTATTTATTTTATTATTTCCCTTCTACGTGACTTGACCGAAAGAACCAATAATTTTCGGACGATAGTTAAATCCCTGTCTGACATTAACTCAGCCCATCTCTCCTCTCGAGTCGGCGGTTGAGTACTCCCCTTGTGGGAAGCCAACCGTAATCTAAACGTGAAGAGACAAGCCCCTGCCATAGGAATATCGAGTTTCCACCAATGACTCAGGCCAGTCAGCAGAGAAGAGCGATGCCAACAGCAATTGTTTGAGCAGTAAGATGCTTCCATGTATTTTGACTTAAATTTCTGTAGGCATTAAGTCATGAGAATCCAGTAGTTGACACCATTTTCAAACCTGATATATGTTTTATTCTCAGAGCTTGAATGCACCTCTCAGGACCATATCTTAATGCGACAGGTTTGTTGTGCCCCTTATTGGTGACCGGGCTCAGACCATGAACTCACTACAGTGGCTGAATCTCGCATGAGAGCCCAGGATCCCAGCAGATCCTGCTCATTGCTCTGACTTCTGAGCCACCACGGCCTCCTGTCCTATTTATAATTTCAGTGAAGCACCAAATTCCAGATGGACACTCGCAATACACGGATGTCACTGTTGGCCGTCGTATTACTCGCCGTGCACAAAGCAGCTGATTGGAAGGTCGAGTCGTCTCGGTCGCTGGGAGACGCTGATTCATTCTGACCCATCGCATTGAGTACCACACAAGGCTGGCGTTGGGCAAACTCTGTTCAAACATTCGGTGCGGTCTGCCGCGTGTTTCCCGAATGTCTGCAACCGAGTGTGGGTGGTGGAACGGAAACGGAATGAAAACTGTTGACGTACACGTTGATACGTTATCAGTTGACACGTACGTCATCTTTCTCTATTCTAACCACGAACGGACGATGTCCGCCTTGTCGGATCGGAGAGCCCTAATTGGTTCATCATTAATGCCGTCTGCGTTCTGCCGATCTGCCTCCGTTGCTTGCACACGTGCGTGTGCACCTGGACGACCTCGGTAATTGAGCCTCATAAAGACACAGCAGCGCACGCACGCGTGCACACGCGTGCACACGCACACACACGCGCGTACACACACCGCCACGGTCCGCCTGCGTTTATGATGACAGCGCTGTCGGAAAGACGGATTACGCACGGTTGTTTTTTTTTATCAATGACCTTCGAAGCAGGTCTTTAGACTCGCTTGCATATTTGTTTTTTCCACTTATCTATCGCCGTAGTTGTTTTTCTCGCTTTAATAACGCGGCGCCTCCGAGATCGTAACAGACGACGCGTTGTTCCGGCCAACGGCGTCGCGTTCAGTGAGTGCCGCGTCTCAGAATCCGGTCAGCGACGGCGTCGGCGGTCACCCGCGCCACTCCTCCACCTCTGCGCGGATTTCGCCCTGCGTCCGTTTTGACAGAGGGGCGAATCGTGCTGGCTGTTGCTTGGCCTTCACGTGGCTTTAGTTATGGTTCGCTGAACCCAAGCGGGATCACGATGATGCGAAGGGAGGGAGGGTTGGGGCTTGTTGGCGGGGGGGAGGGGAGGGTGGCGTCGCCGAGGAAGGGGAGGTTACGAATGGCTGGGTGCCAAGTCAAACAGCGCTGGGCAGACGCGCGCGGGCACACGCACATGCACAGGCACGCGCACGCAAACACCGCAGCAGCAGCAGTGAGTGGAACACAAGTGACGCACACACACTCTGCCCTTTACGCTCACGCCATCAGTGGCGGCTCGGGTGGCTGAATGGCGGGGGGCTCGTGACCAACAGGATACTCGACGTCTTGGAAATTGGATGCATCGCGGCGTCCACGATGGGCAGCGAAGATGAGTCACCGAGTGGGATTAAGGAATTGGACTGCGGCGTTTTTAAGTGAGCTCGCCTACGCTTTGTAAAAATCGTACTCTCAAAACAATGACGCTCCGAAAGAGGAAGCCGAAATTGAATATCACGAGGGTTTGTTGACATTTCTTCGAGCGGTCTTTGTCCATAT